CTGTCCCGGCTCTGAATCACTGACCCCTTGGTCCCTTTGCCTTCCCCCACTCGTGGCGGTGGCAGCCTGAGGGATCAAGCCCCAGCGTCCGCTCACCTGAATCTGGGATTTCTTCCTGCCGGGCGCCGGCTCGTTGATGGGCATCTTAATGGTCTCTTCGTAGTTGGTGACCACGATCGAGCGCAGGGCGCTGAACTCGGTGTGCAGCTGCTTGTCGTCCACTGACCAGAAGCGGTGGAAGAGCAGGTTCTTCTGGTACCTGCCCAGGCCACAAAGGGCATGGTCAAGTCCCTCGCTTCATCCCTGTGCTAACGAAGCTTTGCTCTGGCTTAATTAGCCACAGCTGCCACCACTGGAAGTGATGAGACCAGCAGGGTGGTGCTGCCGCTCCATCCCACCTCCCGCCAGCCCTCCCCGCTCTTACCAGTCCGCCACTGGGACCATCTGGAGGTCGGGCTGGTTCCCCACAACATGGTCAATGAAGTTGAGCTTGGCACTTGGTCTGCGGGGGGAGGATGGGGTGGCTCTCAGCTGGGCTCGGGGGCACCCCACAGTGGAGACCTGTTTGGCTCCTTGGTGGGACATCCCACCAGCACACAGTGGCAAAGAGCCAGGCAGGACCCTCTGGAAAATACTCACAACTTTGGCAGCAGTGGGTCCTTGAAGAGGGGTGGGTGGTACCCAGGTAGGAAGAGGCCCTTGTAGTTGAGCTTTTCTATCAAGGTGTGGGTGGTGTCACCATACTGCGAGAGGGGGGTAAAGCGGTTGCATGGCGGCCCCGTTTTTCTGGGGACCTCCCAGGTCCAGCCTGCTCCCGCAGACCCCGCTCCAGCGCGGGGGCTCAGCCTCCCCAGCTGCCCTGCCGCTTACCGTCTGGATCACCGCGAACTTCACCTTCCCGAATTTGTCTTCTTCCACCCAGGGCTCCTTCACCACCACGGCTCCGCGCTCCTTGGCTTTCTGGGCAGAAGGAGAGAGACCCCCTCCTGCCACTGGTCCCCTGGGCAGGGGAGAGATGTCCCCAGGCCCTTCCCCGCCTCCCCTTGCCATTTTGGGGTGCCATGCGGGAGGGAGCAGAGGGACTGCCTACCTGCACGATGAAGTCGCAGTCTTCCACTTCGAAGGCGATGTCCTTCACCCCATCACCGTGCTTCACCAGGTGCTCCCCCATCTCTGCCCAGAGCGAGAGCAGCCATGGGCATGAGCAGAGGTGCTTTGCTCCTCCGCAGCCCTTTCCCGCTCCATCTCCCCCCGTGGTACCTACCCTCATTCCCCGGGTTGAGAGCGGATGAGAGAACAAACACGATCTGGTGAGGAAGAGGAGGGCGGGTGAGGGATGGAGACGTGGGGGTGCCCCCACGCACCCGCATGCCTGACACCGCCTCGGCTCCCCTGGACCTCCACCCTGCTGGTGGCACCTCTGCAAGCTGTGGCAGCCCCTTACCTTGTCCTGCTTGATGGCGTGTGAGACCACCTCCCTGCTGCCGGTCTCCAGCCCCCGGTACGCCAGCTCCTCGAACCCCATCTTGTTGCAGTAGTAGGATGCAGCCTGCGGGCACGTGAGAGCCACCCTGGGTGAAGCCGCGGTGCCGGTGGCCCCTGGGTCCCATGGGGCTCCCCCTGGCCAGGGCAGCACCACCAGTCCGTGGGGAAAGTGTGCAAGTCACTCATGGGCACAAATGTGCATGAGCGTGCATGTGTGCACGAGTGTCCATGTGTGCACGAGCGTGCATGTGTGCACGCAGGGAGCAGCTGAGCTTTTCTGCTTCCCTCCAGCAACCCAGGAGGAGCAAGCAGAGGTGAGAAAGGGCCCATATCAGGAAAAAAAACCCCAAACTCGGTGGGAAGCGCTGCCTCCAGAGCCCTCCTGCACCCAAGGCGCCCGGGGACAGGCAGGGCACGGTGCACAGCCGGGCAGCAGGCAGGCAGCCCCCGGCGAAGGGGAATGGTTCTGCCTCTCGCCTGTTCAGCTGCGAGGTCGTGCGAAAAGGAGCTCAGGTTTGAAGCAGAGAGGATGGAGTGCAGCTACTGTGACGCCCAATCGCTCTGCAAGCCGGTGACCTCGGCTCCGTCTGTGCCGAATGTCCCGGTTTGCTTTTCCGGGTCCCTCCCGCGCACACCCCCAGGCAGCCGCCCCTCGCCTTGCGCAAGGGCCACCAAGGCCATCGGCCAAGGCCGTGCCAGCAGACACAGGCGCTGAGCCAGGGATGGGCTTTGGGATGCCAGCACGGCCCCATTGGCATTGCCGACCCAGAACGTGATGGAGTGGAAATGGATGAAGCGGCCTCGCAGGGGCTAAAGGGAAAGGGAAAACAGGGCTGAGAGCCATCGCCGCAACCTTTCTTGCAGCGCTGCTCGTCTCCGGAGCAGGGAGAAGCGACGGCCACAACCCTGCAAATGCCTTTTCTGCAAATACATCCGAATGAACCGGGTGAAATCCCGGTTGCTGCCCAAAAACTGATTTTCCAAAGCGCTTTACAGTTGGGTGCCACTGGATCCTGCTCTGTGGGGTGGAAGGTGCAAAGCCCCAGCTCATCTGGGGCCACATCGGTCCTGGTGTTCCCAGTGCTCCCCATAAGCGGCCCCCCCAGTGCCGGGGCTGCCCAGGCACCACAGCCAGGGCTCGACACCCACCCACGAACCCTGCTGCGTTAAAGATTAATTCTCCCCCCCAAACACTCTTACACAACCGCTGGCGCCGGGGCAAATCCCCCTTTGCTCTGTTCCCCACCGCTGTCCCTCCCGCCGGTGCACCAGCAGCTTTGAGAGCACTTTAGGGGGCAAAAAGGTGGCGAATAGGCGCAGCATTTGGAAATAAATGTTGAAATAAATGAGGAGTCTGCCTAGGGATCGGGGTCAGCTGGGAAATACCCATCAACTCCCACTCGTCACTCTCCTCCCAATCCAGAAAGAAAAAGGAAATGAAAAAAATTGCCATTATGGGTGGTGATTTACAACGAGGAACCATTCTTGTGCGGCCCAGCCAGTTTTACTTCTGATTTTACCAGGTAATTAAGGAGTAAGGAATGGATATTATTTGCATTAACGCGGCTGATGTTTCACACCAGGCAACAGGGCAGGACCGTTGGCTGGAAAAGGCTCTTACCTTTTCTCCCTTGTCTGTGTAAGTCGTCTGGAAGAGAGAATCAGAAAAGAGAAAGGTTAGCAGTTCAGGAAGGTACCTTCAGCCCCCAGAGAGCTCGAATCCAAAGGTCAGCGTATGAGGAGCAGCTCTTCTGCATGACTTCCAGCACGGTTACTGAAAAGTCCGAATTTAACCAGACTTAAACCCGGTAAAGCTCCCGAGACATCCCGCGCCATCGAGCCCCGGCCATTTAATTTCATTCCCATCTGCTGCCCCTCACCATTTTCGTGACCTGGCAATGTGACAGCGGCAAAGAGAGTGGGAGTCCGGGAGAGCGTTTAATGTAGTGGTGGGACGGGGGAAGCTCCTCCTCAGCTCCACCTTCTCCCACCCCCAGCCCCGAGCATTTGCGCCCCGGAGATGCGTTTGGTTTGGGCTGGGAACTGCCAGCGTGGTCCTGTGGGTGGCTTCCCGGGGCCAGGTTGTGAGGTCCCTTGCAGTCCTGGCTGTGGCACAGCGGGGTTAAACGTGGAGGGTGGTGAGCGTGCAAGTGTGCAAGCGTTCGAGGCTCTGCGGCGTGGGAGCCTGCTGAGCCCACAGCAACCCTGGCCCCCTGCATGCCATCATGGCCACACGTTCCCCCCAGCCCTCCCGCCTGCCCCTGGGGACATTCACCCCTTTGCGGGGACGTGTCCTGTCCCAGCCACCGCTGAGCTTGCGCGCAGAGCCCAGCTGTGCCTACGGGCTCTGGGCCTGGGGCAGGCGGTGCCACCTTCAGCTCCGGTGAGCCCAGTGCCATGGGGGGCACCGTGAGGAAAGGCCAGTGCACAAGCCCCCCATGGCTGGGAGTGGTGGCAAGCTGGAGCCACTGGTGGGGCTAGGGAGGACGAGGACAGGGGGCCTGGGTGGGTGTCAGCAGCACAAGGCTGTGGTGGTGGGGTTGTGTCCCCTGCTGCCACACACCCTGGGGACACAACCCCGTGCTGCCGTGCACTGCCCCTGCAGCCACGCCGGGGCACGGGCTGGAGAGGGGCCAGCAGCAGGGACGGGGTCACCCCATGGCACCACCACAGCTCTGTCACCCTATGGCAGTGCTGTGCCACCGCCTGTCACCGTCACAGCTCTGTCACCCCATGCCAGTGCCACTGCTCCGGCACCCCATGGCACCCCCACCGTGGTACCGCACCCCCCGGCACCCCTACACCTCTGTCACCCCATGGGACACCCACCGTGCTACCGCACCCCCTGGCACCCCCACACCCCTGTCACCCCATGGCCCCCCACCGT